GTGATTCCTGCAAATAAGGAACGTGTTTATAAAGGGCCAAGAGATACGTCCGGCTTATCCACTCAATGCCTAAGTCAGTCAACATACCCAAATAATATATTATACACTATTATAGTTTGGTTTTCATTTTCGTACTTGAGACTAGTGCTGTCAAAATTTGACACAACACGATTAACTGACACGAATCGATACGAATTAAACAGGTTTGGGTAAGATATTAACGAGTTTAGGTGATAAACGGGTTGACACGCCAAACACGTTTAATAAACGGGTCGTGTTCGGGTGAGACCTGTCAAACCGTTTATCACACGTTTACCCGTTTAAATAAAACTAATATAATAATAAATTAATAATTATTTTAAAAAATTAGCAAGAAAAAAAGAAGTAAAGAAATCAATAAAAAAAAAAAGTAAAGTAATAGTTCAAAGACAAATGAGAAGAGTTGGAGAGCACTTCAAAGGCAAAGGCAAACAAATGTCTTTTGTTTTTGTCCCACATTGAAAAATGAGGGGAGATGGGGGAGGGTTGAGTTGCCTATAAAAGACAATGGTCTCTTGCTTTTATTTTTAAAGCCTTCAAGTCTTATTTTTCAAAGACAAAGGAGAGAAGTTGTAGAGCACTTCAAAGACAAAGGCAAACCAATGTCTTTTGTTTTTGTCCCACATTAGAAAATGAGAGGAGATATGGAGGGTAAGTTGCCTATAAAAGGCAATATCCTCTTGCTTTTTTTTTTTAAAGCCTTCTAGTCTTATTTTTATGATATTTGATTTAAAATTCCTTTTTTTTGAGGTAAGTGCAATTAGTAGTAAAAACAAATGGAGTATTAAAATATATTGATATAATTTTTTTAAAATTAAACGGGTTAAACGAGTCGTGTCGTATTATCCGTTTATTAAACGGGTCGTGTTCGTATTAAGATTTTTTACTCATTTATTAAACGTGTCGTGTATGAGTTTATATGTTTTTCGCCCGTCATCTATTTAACCCGACACATAACCATTTAACCCGACATGATTGACACCCCTACCTAAGACCAATTTTTTGGGCTATTTATATCTTGAGAGGTGATGATATGCTGTTTTCTAAGTCACTTCAACTTGGAAGGTAGTACACCCTCAAGGATTAGTAATCAATGGCTACTCCTTGCCTTAAGTCGCACATTTACCAGGCTTAGGGGAGGTTAATGGTCACTCAGGATAAAACCTTGTAATGATTGCTATGCTCAAGGAATAGAGCATTTAATGCATGTAGCCTTGGCATATAATGGCCTCTGTCAAACATTAAATGCGCTACACCTAGCATTTATGGGACCTATGTCAAGCATTGAATTCATTGTCCACCAACTGGTCCACGTTACCAAGGGACATGCCTTTACCTGGATATTCTGAAATACAATGTGTGACCTGACGTGATGTGCTAACATAGGCATTCATTCCATACTACGTGTCACATCATGGGGTGCCACATGTCTATTCAGCATTTACTACTTGAGCTCGAGACCATTTTCCTTTCCAAGGCTCTATAGGCCCCAAGGGGATGCCTATATCCTCATTTTCCCCTTCTCTGGCCTTTATGTGTTCTCGATGCATGATACTACATGTCCACATGTCGTGTGCTAATAAGAATGTCGTTTCATGTTCCTTCAACTGTCCCATAGCCTTTAATTCGCTCATGTCGTGGGCCACTTGGTGTGAGGGGATTAAAGGCTACTTTTGCAGGTTTTCTTCGTGGGAGCCATTGGAAGTCTATTTGTCGCCCTTTTTAAAATTTTCATTTAATGCATCGCCTCTCCCGATAACCGATATATTGAAGGGAGGTATAAATATGGGAGAATTTTCCCATTCTTGGACCCATTTGAATCATTGGAGTCTTAGTGATCTTAACAAGACCGAGCATTCTTTGCTTTCTGCTATACGACATTGATTGACTCTATTTTGCCATTTTTGTGGGATTAATCTAGACCATCTAGGGATTGAAAATAGGCCCAAGACCACAAAACCCAAGCCCGAAAAGACCCAAGTACACAACCCCCAATGGATAGCCATTTTAGGGCTAAATACCGCAACCCGGTTGATGTGTAGGTCATCAAGTTCAAGTTTGACTGGCATAGTGCCACTAGTGGTACACCAGACCTTATGCCCTTCCATACTAAGCTTATAATATGGGAGGTGTTGGGTTTCCTCTTGCCCCTTTTTTCTTAGGTTCCTGATGCACTTCAAGATCTTCCCTGGGCAGTGTCATGTAAACCTTTTTAGGATAGTTTTGGAGTTCAAAGCCATGATCTCCCAGCTCGGCATCAACTTAGGAGTAGATGAAATTCTTTTATGCTATGGAATGATGTTGACTCCCAGAAAGAAATACTTCCTCAAATCTCGGGACCCTGCTATGTACCTGGTGACCCATATGGTTGACTCAATATTTTACTAAATCTATTTGTTTTGCACAAAGGAGGACATGAAGGAAGAAGCTGCCTAACTTTTGCAGTCCTCGGTCTCTTTTCAATACCTAATCATCGTTTGGAGCTTCTACAGACTAGACAACCTTGCCCGAGAACAGCCCACATTATATTGAATTGCATTCCCAGCTATAGAAAGTACTCTCAGGTTCCTGTCCCCTTGGAATGCCTATGGGTTTCTACTTTTTTCTCTTCCCTTGAAAACTACTAAGCCTTGGTGCCATTTACGTCTTTCCTCTTTTTCTTTTGTCTTTTTGTGGTAAGCTAGAGGGGAGCATGGCCATGATCATTCTTCGATTTTCTTGGTTACCACACCTAGCCGTTGGAGGTCTTTCCCTCTCAGGCATGTCCTCTCAATTTGTTAGGGTACCATATTTGGTTCACTTGAGTGTGGTGTTCTATCTTCACAAAGTCTCATCCCACCCTGGGTTGTGCCCCTAACGACCGAGTCTAAGACTCGTGTTGAAAATATTCAAGGACATTTCTCTTCCCAAGGAAGGCATATATCCCTAGGTCCATTTGGAGGCTTATCCCACCCGGGGCTGTTTCACTAACGATTGAGTCCAATACTCGTGTTACAAATCTTTAGGGATGCTTCATTTCTCGAGGAAGGTGCATCCCTTTGTTCATTTGGACACGATGTTCTGCCTTCGCAGAGTCCTATCCCACCTAGGGTCGTGCCCATAATGACCAAGTCCAAGACTCATGTTATAAATCTTGAATATGTTTCCCTTCCTAAGGAAGTCATAACCCTAATGTAGTTCCCAGAGGGGGAACTCGATGTGGATCTTCCCTCACGATTATACACATAAAAACCAATACACTTAACCTAGAAGTGGGAGAATAGGTTTTTTAATTTTAGCCAATTTGATTACAAATTAAAACTTATATCTACCACAATTAACTGTTCTCACAAAGATGCAATAATGAATGTGAGAACCCCTTTCAAACACCACCAACCCAATTAACCATGACAATTGATTTTAATTAATATGCAATTAATTCACTCATAATTCTCACGGCGATCCCAAATCCCACAAAGTCAATTGCACAAATATGGATGATATGAAATCTAACAATTAAAATATCAAACACATAGTGTGCGTATGTGCTAACGAATGCAATACAATAATCAATAAGAGGCACAAGCAATTTCTTGACGCAAAAAATACTTCTCAAAAAAATCGCAAAGAACCACTCGAGATTCACCAAAGCCTAATCAACTATGCACCAAGTCTACATATAAGTACTTGAGGCTTATACCTCAACATGCTCCCTTCCTTGCTATGTCTCTCTGCTACAAGTCCCTCTCCAATGTCTGGTGTACCTTTCCTTGGACCTCCTCGTCGTACGATTCATCTAGGCCTCGAACAATTATAGATATGCCAACAATCCTCGGTATGCACACCAATGGGTTTGTTCACCAACAAAATCTCCTACTCCATGTTATGAGGATAGAAAGAATTACAAGTGGTAGTCTTTGGATTCTTAGGGATGTAGGTTGTGGTGGAAGCTCTCAAGGTTGAAAGATCGATTTCTTCATCAAAAATATCTCAAAATGCTCTCTCAAGGCTTAACCTAGATGTGGGAAAGGTACTCTCTATTTATAGGTGTAGAATAAGGGTAGTCTTAGTAAATAAGAAAATTCAAACGTGCAAACAATCACTCGATTGGTGGAAGAGCGATCATAGGCACTACAACAAAAATCATTTTTTGCGACGATTTTTTTCGTCACTAAAAGTAAAAAAATCGTCACTAATTATTTTTTGCGATGTTTTTTTTTCGTCGCGTGTTCATCACAATAGCCACGTCCCAGAAAATATTTTGTGAAGTAATTTTATTTTCGTCGCAAAAAAAAAAAAAAATTGCGACAAATAAAAAACGTCGCTAAAACTTCAAAAACGTCACTAAAATCTATTCCAACAATGTAAAAAAATAAAAAATTAATACTTTAATTAATTTTCAACAACGTAAAAAAATCGTCGCAAATAATTTTTTACATAAATAAAAAATATAAATAATAATTGAATAAATACATTTGCAACGTATAAAAATCATCACGAAAAAGATTGTCCCTACAATTTTTCGCAATGATTTTAATTTCGTGGCAAAAAAGTTCTTTTTTTAAAAAATAATTCATAAAAAATGATATTCCAATAAAATTTTTCACCTGTACACCAATAATACATGTGTTCAATAAAAAACTGACACAATTAATACATTTTACATCTTTTCTATTCAACATACATTTCACATCTTTTTTTAAAAAAATAAAATTTTATTTCCAAAAAGAATAAATTGCAAGAATCAAAGAGAAAGAAGTTCTAAAAATAGAAAAAATGGTTTTAATCCTTCAAGAGGATTTAATTCATCTCTAATTACATTTAATGTCTCATGTCTGCACCCAGCCTCAAGCAAGCTCCATGCAACTGCTTCATATCCAACCACCTCCTCCTTACAAAAATAATCCAGTGCTCCATGACATCCAAGATTTTTCAATCCAGCAACACAGACCAGCTTCGCAGTCTTCAAAAACAAGTTCAAATTATTCCTTATAGCTCTTTAATGCATTCAATGTGCCCCCAGTGAAATGGCCAAGTTCTTCTCCTGCTTCTAAGGCTTTCGTTTGTGTCAGAAGAGTATTCTGTTCATTGATAGAAAAAATGGATATTTGGTGAATAATATGAATTGAAACATGTAGGATCTACTAGCACCCAAAAAAAGAAACATGTAGGACTTATCTGTACACCCATACAATGATACCACTTGCCATGATCTGCTTTATTGTGGGTAGAATGGTTGTTGGCCTATCTATCCAGCCAAAACTCCTGTGCAAGATTCAGGAGGGAAGCTAGTTAGTGGTTCTACTTGAACATGATACATATCTAGATATAAGATGACATGGTTCAATGCGCAGGTCGAACTTGAGAAGTTGATCCATTTTGAGGCTGGAATGTGTGATACCTTTGTTACCATGTGTATGATACTACAATATAAATAAAAAGACAGTGCCTGCAAGCCGACCATCTGGTTTGCATGGCATGAAGTGCTTTTTGCACCTCAGGTAGATTCAGATAGGAGGAGACCTAGTCGTCGGAGCAGGGATCAAAGTCCTTCACCTGATTATGTAACCTTAAGAATAAGATCATGTACGGCTTAACTTGAATGAACTGATATGGCGGTTTGCTCAAATAGTGAGTCGTAAATCTATCCTTATTGGTTTTGTTAGATGGCATTATGGTCTCAATTCTGAGCATTCTAATTAATTTAAAAGAAAAAACTGTGTGGAAGATGTGAACTCATTCAGGATTCATTATAATCTCAAGTCAAGTACCAAGGGTGTTCATTGTGTATGGTAGTGTAGTCATTACTAGTCAATGACCATGTGTGTAATACTCCTTTTAGTTGAATCTAACTATGAAATTGTCTCCAGAACACAGGAGTTGTACTACCACCTCTATGATGCAGTGGAGGGCAACCCCCCCCCCCCCCCCCCCTTTCTCTTCTCCTCCTCCCTTTAAAAAAAATTATCTTCCTTCTATCATCAAATTGTTTTCACTATTATCCTTGTTTCATGGAACAGTTCTTTAATTGTCACTAAACATGAATGTCACTAGAGTATGGACTTACAGAACCAGGGGGACCAGGTTTGCTTCCTGATGAATGGAAAAGTGTGGAGCATATGTGTTGTAGATGTCAATATTTCCATATTCGTAGTCTCCTTGATTTTGATATTGATTGCACGTATCTGAATAATTTCCAGTAATATAGTCGCAGTACTTGTCAATTCCTACATGGGTTTCATCAGAATTCAAAGCATGTGTCCAGTAGAAGTCATACATTCCCTTTGTGTTGGTATTATCATCTATCCAAGCATTGCCCATCTGCACCATTTATTGAAATTTGGTTTTAGTCTTCTGCATGGAAATGTGATCAAAACTGATGCATTCAAAGAGAAAATGATGATTTGATATACTCACTGCAATGCCCTTGAGATTAAAGATTGTTTGGTTCGTGTTATTATTGTTCCTTGATAGGATGATATGAGCAAGCTGGGGCACATAACGACCGGCATAGCTCTCTCCAGTTATAAAGAAGTCTCGTGTCTTGTACTGGGGGAATCTCTCAAGCCAGTGTATAACAAAAGCGTAAGAATCTTCTGTTGTTCTCTTGTCTCCAATTTTCAAAGAATCAGAAGTTGTGTTTGAATACGAAAAACCCACGCCAGCCGGGGACTCCAGGAATAGTACGTTTGCCACTGGCAATTTTTGGTTGATTTAATTCCGTAGCACGTGTTCATTAACTTCAAAAAAGAACATGGATTCCACTTACCTTCATTCCATGCATAGTCATTGTGGAATAGAGTCTATCCATCTCTGTTGACACTGAAGGGTCCTAGTTCCTCCATGGCTCCATATCCAAGGGATGAGCAACCTGGTCCTGTACATTATTAACATGCTGGTAAGGCGTTATTGAAGTAGTCATTTACTAGATGGACACGTGTTGTAAAAAATAGAGTTAAATTTAGGTAATTTGATCTCTAACACTTGTGGTGGTTTACTTGGGACTTGTTTGGCTATAGAGGTCAAATTTAGGATCTCGGCTCTATTTGAAGCAAGCAGCGGAAGTCACCGTAGTACTAGGGTACAAGTATGGCCTAAGGGAAAATGGGTTAGGTAGTTGTATTGGTAGAACGAGGAGAAGTGGACATAATCTTATGTGTCATCAATGTACTCCCGAACCTACAGGTTCCACAAGAAAAAGAAAATGTCAATCTCAACCAACAAAACGTGATGATTACCATGCAAAGGTTTTTTTCTTATACTGAGAATCTTTAAATTGGTAAGAAATACAGAAAATGTCGTCTGAACATTTAACAGGACATAAATGCTAAGATAATTGCACAATAATACAGTAAGTAGGTTAAAGAAATCCTGATCACAAGGAAATAAAAACAAATCACTTGTATGTACCATGTCCACCATTCCATTTCCAACTCACTCAATTTAAAAACCTTTGCTGCCTAATTCTCCAAGCTGGAACAAATCGTTGAAAACCTCAGCTACATTAAAAATCAGCTAGAACAAATCAGTCCAACTGAGATATACCCAAATTCTGAAGCTAAAACTAGCTGAGCAGTCCAAGAGACGTGAACAATCAGATAGCAAAAAAAGATACTCTCAGCTGGAGAATGAAAATTTCAACTGGAATTAGCAGCTGAAGGAGAAGAAAACCAGCTGACAGAATGACAAAATCCCTGGCATAAGCTAAAAGAATGTAGCTGAATGTGTAATGAATAGTAACGTGAACAGTCCAGTTGCAAGTGATCAGACTCTTTAGAAAACAGTCAAAGAAGGAGAGAGTTTGAAGTGTACCTCTGTATTTTCAAGAGAATAGAAAATTTGCCTGAAGAAAAACCGCATCTTACTGTATAGATGTATCATCAACATATATAAAATTGATTTGTACAAATTGCAAAAACTTTCAATTGATGAACAAAATAAGACATAGTACTCAATCACCCAGTTATCCTCCAATTATAGCCTAAAGAGCAAGACAGACTTGAAATTCTTAGTGAAGAAATTCAATGATTACAACAAAACTTCAAAGACTAGTCACAATGTTATAGTTGACAGAGAACACTCTTTTCATTTGACAAAATACACAATTATATGTGGATTTTCCCTAAATGTGTTATGGCTTCCATCCAAAGGTTGTGCCCATGGTGCGATACATTGCAACCGGATTCTACTACTATTAGGAAAAATATTACTCACCTTTGCTGAATCAAGTATTTTTGCTTGTGACAGCCAGAGAAAATGGTAGGAACATTAAAGGAGCAGCTAGATTCAATCACCCCAGCTCTGCGGGAGATGCAATTAAGAAAACAAGAGAGGGTGAAACAATTCCAAGCTGTGCAAGGTCAAATTCAGAAAATATCTGCAGAAGTAGCAGGCCAATCAGAATACGATGATTCATCATCAAATGTAATAGTTAACAAGAATGATCTTTCACTAAAAAAACTTGAGGAGTACCAAATTGAGCTTCAAAGAATTCACAATGAGAAAGTAAAGCAATCAGCAATTTGCTTCGTAAGGGGCTCTATCAACTTCACATTGAATTAATGCATTTCAATTATTTTTCCCTTGTTCATATCTTGTTGACATCAAAGAATGAGACTCCAAAAAATGGAAAAACATATAAGCACAATTCAGAACCTGTCAGCCACATTGGGAATGAATTCTTCCATGATCATCCAAGATTGAATGAATTGTCTGGACTATCAAAAAACATAAGCGACAGTATTTTGGCTAAACTTGGCAGTATTGTAGAATCTCTTGAAGCAGAAAAGCAAAACTTTATGCTGTTAAATTGCATTTTTCCTACATTTTTGGGCAAAATATTGTTTTTATATCATTTTGGAGTCTGGAATCATAAAATTAGTTTTCTAGTGGTTTCTTTTAAACATTCAAAAAATGAACAGCAATTATGCAACCTATTTACAAAGCCTCTGTATGCCAGATGTTGGGATATCTAGGCATAGCATGTGAGGGGGCTATCATTAAGATGGGAGTGTATCAGTAATTATGGAGCAGACTTTAAAATCAGTATGAGCAAATACATTATGGACAAAATGAGACACACATTTATCCAAATGCTATTTGCAGAAAATTGCAAATCTTTTATTTTGATCAAAAAATGATTATTTAAGACAAATACCTTTTTAAGGAAAACAATGTTTTCGTTCTTTGCATGTTTAAGCCATGTTGTAAGAACTAGCCAAAAAACATAAACTTTCTTTGCATCCATATTCAGAGGTTTAATGAGAAATGAGTCCATGTTTTTGCTTAAACTATTGATCATCCTGGTGATGTCTAAGAAAGTACTTCTTAGAAACCAAGACTTTTCTTTATGCCATCATGCTACATGCATTTACATAAGTTTTTATGTATGTAGGAATACTTGGGGCACACAGATGTCTATGCATCTAAGGGTTTCAGTTTCTTGATGGCAATTCATCATTGACAACAGTAGGAGTTTTGCCATCTGCAGTAGGTTTGTATCGGCAATTCATCATTGACAATAGTGCTGTCAATTTGATTCTCCCCTACTTCACTGACCTGACTTTCTGCAAACAAAATCAACATCAGCTTTTATCCAGATAGCTCAATTTTTCATTCGTATCCAAATTCATTTTCCATGGAATTTTCACCTTAAAACAGAGAATTCAGAATTATATACCAAAAATTTCAAGAGTAAGCAAACTATAACTCCAATTGTTACATTTAAGTCGAAAGAAGAAGAAACGTAAGTGGAACAATAATATACCCAAGAAGGGTTGTGTTGAGTGTGTGTTTTATTTAGAGAACCTTACCTTTCATTCCTTCTCCTTGTGATAGGATCCACACATAAATTACATAGTTCGATACCAAATTTCTGTAATACGTGTTAGCAGTGTATAAAGCAATATGATTATTTATACCGGGGAAGTATTGGGAGGTTATACTTGTATGCAGCCCATCCCTCCATGAATTCACTAGATCTGGGGCATCTTCTTCCTTGCACATTACCCAGGGAACTCCTGTACCCAACCCGACCGCCAAATTTGCAGCCCAAGTCATGTACTGATGACCAGCAGCTCCAAGTGCCTTACCTTGTGGCCCATACTCATTCTCAATCTACAAAACAAATTAGCCAGTACCATCATTGGGAAAACTGACATTTAGTTCTAGCAATAATGGATGGATATCCTCAACAAGCTTCCATTTTCTAGCTAGACTCTAGAGTAACTGCTACATTGGTGAATTTATTTTAATGTATGGCTCAACCCCCAGATTTGACATAAGCGCATATGTGGTGAAAATTAAAATCCCAAAACATGGAAGCCTTACCTAAGAAAGTATGATGGGACCACCCTGGGACTCAAACAAATTTTCACTGTTCATCAAATTCACAATTTTTTCAGTGAAACTTTGCATAGCCATCTGCAACCCCATATACATCAAAGCAGAGTGTTTTTTTGCAAACAATCCCAGACCATAAAACACATTTTCAGCAAAAACCCACATACCCAGCAGATCAAGAAACGGTACTAAAAAACTAATTCCTCTTCAAATAACAAAAATTTGTAGCAAACAATAAAAAAAACTGTCAAACATTAAAGTGAGTAGAATTAAACAAATCCACAAACAAAAGTATAAGACAAAATCCACAACAAACATACCAACCCATGAAAATAAATTACCCAAAAAACAAACCAATAATCTGTTTTTGCGCTAAAAAAATCAAAGATTAAATTGGTACCTGAGCTTCGGCTTGATCTCTGAGTTGAATCAAAGATCAAAAATCAAGGATTACTGGGGGTTCTAAGTTGGGGAGGGGCTTTCAGGTGGGAGTGTTTTTGTTGTTTGTGGTGTTCCAAAATTGTAAAATCACTTATTGATATTTCTGATATCATGTAACTTAAAATAAAACAAGCAATAAATGTGAACTGTAGAACCGTAATACAAATCAAAACAGTTACAGTAAACACGAAAGAGTTACAACAAACAGATACACGTAACTCTATGCCAAATTAATGTAAAAACTAACCCAGTTGCAGAACAGGAACTGTTATTGAACTTGTAGTAGATCAAGGCTAGTGTTTGACACTATGTCCTTAAGACAGATTTCGCCCCCATACACGGTGTTTATGGAATCCGAGCGCCTATCTCCCAAGATACAATGATATTCCACGAACAGAAGTAGCCCATCTTCATGAATTCACTAGATCTGGGGCATCTTCTTCCTTGCACATTACCCAGGGAACTCTTGTACCCAACCCGACCGCCAAATTTGCAGCCCAAGTCATGTACTGATGACCAGCAGCTCCAAGTGCCTTACCTTGTGGCCCATACTCATTCTCAATCTACAAAACAAATTAGCCAGTACCATCATTGGGAAAACTGACATTTAGTTCTAGCAATAATGGATGGATATCCTCAACAAGCTTCCATTTTCTAGCTAGACTCTAGAGTTACTGCTACATTGGTGAATTTATTTTAATGTATGGCTCAACCCCCAGATTTGACATAAGCGCATATGTGGTGAAAATTAAAATCCCAAAACATGGTAGCCTTACCTAAGAAAGTATGATGGGACCACCCTGGGACTCAAACAAATTTTCACTGTTCATCAAATTCACAATTTTTTCAGTGAAACTTTGCATAGCCATCTGCAACCCCATATACATCAAAGCAGAGTGTTTTTTTGCAAACAATCCCAGACCATAAAACACATTTTCAGCAAAAACCCACATACCCAGCAGATCAAGAAACGGTACTAAAAAACTAATTCCTCTTCAAATAACAAAAATTTGTAGCAAACAATAAAAAAACTGTCAAACATTAAAGTGAGTAGAATTAAACAAATCCACAAACAAAAGTATAAGACAAAATCCACAACAAACATACCAACCCATGAAAATAAATTACCCAAAAAACAAATCAATAATCTGTTTTTGCGCTAAAAAAATCAAAGATTAAATTGGTACCTGAGCTTCGGCTTGATCTCTGAGTTGAATCAAAGATCAAAAATCAAGGATTACTGGGGGTTCTAAGTTGGGGAGGGGCTTTCAGGTGGGAGTGTTTTTGTTGTTTGTGGTGTTCCAAAATTGTAAAATCACTTATTGATATTTCTGATATCATGTAACTTAAAATAAAACAAGCAATAAATGTGAACTGTAGAACCGTAATACAAATCAAAACAGTTACAGTAAACACGAAAGAGTTACAACAAACAGATACACGTAACTCTATGCCAAATTAATGTAAAAACTAACCCAGTTGCAGAACAGGAACTGTTATTGAACTTGTAGTAGATCAAGGCTAGTGTTTGACACTATGTCCTTAAGACAGATTTCGCCCCCACACACGGTGTTTATGGAATCCGAGCGCCTATCTCCCAAGATACAATGATATTCCACGAACAGAAGTAGCACTTCAATCTGTTCATACAGCGAACCAAAACTTGTGTCGTGTACTCTCCAAATGTACTGCCTTAAAATGCCGAAATGTAATTCACTTAATTCCGAAAATAGTTTGATTATCTGAATGAATAAAACGAATGCATGACCTGGGTATTTATAGATACATTAGTGACTTTTCGGACAGTCACCTTACTAAAGGACACACCTCATAAATTAAAACCGACTCAGCCAATAGACACTTTGAATAACTATTCTTCACGAACAGTCAAATCTTGAAAATTTTGGACTGGAGCAAATCTGAACTATCCAACGGGTTCGGATTGGAGCAAATACTAAAATTAATTTCAGGTTAAGAAATTCATGCCCAAGCAATTAAATGAATTTTTTTCCAAAAAGATAAGGCTTGGTCTAATGCACACCCGCACCCGCACCCGGCCTCGCCGGGTCGTGGTGAGGCGGGCGGCCGGCGCGTGTGTGTGGTAGACCCAAAGGCATGTAGGTGCTCGCTCCACTCATAAAATTATGGTACCCCTTGGGGCCTAACCAAGCAATTAAATGAATTTTTTCCAAAAAGATAAGGCTTGGTCTAAAGCACACCCGCACCCGCACCTGGCCCGGCCGGGTCGTGGTGAGGCAGGCGGCCGGCGCGCGTGTGTGGTAGACCCAAAGGCATGTAGGTGCTCGCTCCACTCATAAAATTGTGGTACCCCTTGGGGCCTAACCTATAGAGCAAACTTGAGCTATATATGCCCATGTTGAATTTCTTACTCAACCAATGTGGGATTGGTGTCAAACCCCACATTACACATCTTCTATTTTCACTCTTCAAGAGGGTCACTATGGAGCCTATTTTCTCATTCATTTCTTACTCGAATTGAGCAAGTGAATATTTCACGTTATACTCCTCACGGAGTAGAATATAAACTAACAAAAATTTATTCGAAATAACTAATGGGTCCCACTTTAATTTAGGCTCAAAGTTGACCAAAACCTCTGTTTTTTACACTAAAAAACTGTTTTTGGTCTAACAGTTTTCTGGGTTGGGGAGGGGCGAAGAGAGTTTCTACGTTGTTGGCAATGGCGGTGGCCTGGCGTTGAGGACTGATGTGGCTTATGGCTTCGACGACTGGTAGAGAGAGGCAGGTTCTTCGAGTTCAATCGATGGAGAGGCAAGGAGAGGCAGAGAGAGACAGGTGGAGCTTCTGTGATTTGGAGCTTCAGTGAGAGAGAGAGAGAGAAAAAAAAAGAGAGAGATCGTGGAGAGGAACTTGGCTTGTGAGTGAAATGGAGGCTATGGAAAATAGAGTGTGACAAGTAGTCCGTAGGAGGGAAATTTTAGGAATGACCTTTTCATGACGTTTTTGAAAAACGTCCCAATTAATAATTTAATATTTTATTTTAATTAAATAACTAAAATTTATATTCTGCAACCAAATATTTAAACGTCGCGAATTATATATTTTGACTTTATTTTTTTATTTTAATTTTAAATTATTTATTTTTGTGATAACTAATACGATTTATTTTAATTGATAATACTATCCTAAAAAAGGTAAAAAAAAAAAACAATAATAACATATTGTAATAACTTCTTATTAATCCAATAAATCATTAGTCATTCAACTATGAGTGAGATTAAATCTAACCTTTTAGGCTCGTGAGGATTATGGTAAGATTCTTGAGGGTATGGGATGATTTGCACAGTGAAAGTATAGTGGCTCACCAACTCAGAAACTAGACTATTTCACTCCTCAAATAAGTTTCTTACTCTTTAGATCTATATTAATGCTCTATGCGATTTATAGAATGTTTATAACATTTTAGTTTATTTTTTTATTATTTAATTTCTGACAAAAAAATGTTGTAATAAAATAAATTTCGTTTCTCGTCATCCCTCGTGCCAAAAAAAAAATAGGGGAGGGACTCAATTATTTGCAACAAACTTATCAAATCGTCGCAGATAGTATACTTTTTTGCAAAAAATTTAAAAATGTCGCAAATAAAATTTTTATTTTTCTTTATTTTAATTTTTTATTATTTAATTTTCGAAAAAAATAATTTTTTTGTAAATAAATTTTCATTTTCTGCCATTTACTCGCGGCAAAGTGAAGGGGTTTCCGACAAAATTAAAAAAAAGTCACGCAAAAAATTACCGTAATAATTATTTGCGACAAAATTACTACATTGTCGCAGATATTAGATTTTTTGCAACGAATTTAAAAATGTCGTAAATAAAATTTTTATTTTCTTTTTTTTTAATTTTTATTATATAATATGCAACAAAAAATTTTTGTCGTAAATAAATAGTCATTTCCCGCCATATTTAGGATTAGAAGGAAGGGGGAGGCAAGAACTTTTTTTACGACAAACATAAAAAAATGTCGTGAAAAAATTATCGTAATAATTATTTGCGACAAAATTATAAAATGTCGCAGATATTGGGTTTCTTGCAACAAATTTAAAAAAGTCGCTAATAAAATTTTAATTTTATTTTATTTTAATTTTTTATTATTTAATTTGATACAAAAAAATTGAAATTTCTCACATTTTTCGCGACAAATTCAAAAAAACGTAGTAGATAGTATTTTTTTTGCGACAAATTTAAAAACGTCGTGAATAAAATTTTTTTTTCTTTTATTTTAATTTTTTATTATTTAATTTGAGACAAAAAAAATTTCATTTCTCACATTTTTTGCGACAAACTCAAAGACACGTCGCAGATAGTATCATTTTTTGGGACAAATATAAAAACGTCGCGAATAAAATTTGTATTTTCTTTTATTTTAATTTTTTATTATTTAATGTGATACAAAAAAATTTTCATTTCTCACATTTTTTGCAACAAACTCAAAAACACGTCGCATATAGAATACTTTTTTGCGAAAAATACAAAAACGTCAAGAATAAAATTACCGTAATAATTATTTGCAACAAAATTATTAAATCGTCGCAGATATTGGGTTTTTGCGATGAATTTTAAAACGTCGCGAATAAAATTTTTTCAACTCTTGCAATTCCTTTCCCAAAAATAATTTTGGAGGGAATCTTCTTTTCACGACGTATTTAAGAAAATGTCGCAAAAAAATTGCAAAAAAATATAAATTTAGACTTTATTTTACTTTAAATTGTAAATTATTTATTTTTGTAACGAGATAAAACTATTTGCAACAAAAAAAATTTTGTCACAAAAAATTGTCAATTCCTGCCATTTCTCCCGTCAAAAACAATTATGAGAGAATCGACTTTTTGCGACGTTTTTAAAAAATCGTCGCAAAAAATTTGTCAAATTACAAATTTGCGACAAAATTATAAAATCGTCGCAAATAATAAACTTTTTGTGACAAATTTAAAATCGTCACAAAAAAAAAAGTCGCAAAAAATGTTTTTCGTTGTAGTGAGGGCGGTTGTCGTTGGAGTGAAAATTACATTCCAATCCCAACTAAGGCAAACATTGCTCAAGCGACCATGAGCATTGCTCAAGTGAGTTCACAGAGAGCGAGCCTTGTGTTACCTTCCGTGGCCTTTTCCCCTTTTTATCATAGGTCATCAAGAGACCGCTCAAGTGAAGGCTAGCGAGTATAAGACAGTCCCTACAAGTTTTCTAAGCCTAAAACCAAGCTAAAACTTATCCTCTTGAATACTAAAGGGTATTTTTTAATAGGGATCTAATTGTGACTCAATCTATGTTTTCAAAACACAAAGTTGGTTTTTTTTTCTTTGAAAATTCCTAGGAGTCATAATCAAATCGATTCCAATTACATTTTTCATCCTAATCATACTAAATTAAAAAAAACTAGGAGTCATCTTAGGTGTCTAGGGCATTACCTTTGTCTTAAACATGAAAGTGCATACAGAGGTTGAATAATATAGCTTTGATGCTTGATTTCCTCCCTTCATCATAGCTTTTAGACCTTGACTTCATAGCATCATGATCATGGAATTGGTTGAGATTTTACACTAGACTCCACGATAGTCAGTTACAAACATCATCTAACACCAAACGGCCGAGCCCAAGGTCCATGTTAATAGCACTTTCTTCAAAATGGATCATTTATTAATTTAATAAAAAAAAATCAGATTTGATACATTCCATGGACGGGGAATAGGATTACCCTCCAAATCTTTTAGCTTTTAAGATCCTGAGGCCCCCACTAAAACAACCATGTAGGGCCTTTCCTAGATGGGACTGAGTTTTCCATCATTTAGTTCCCGAGTGCTCCCCATAACTTTATGAAGCACTAGGTCCCACACTCATAATTCTTACACTCTAATCTTCTTTTGGTGTTTTTTAACCAGCTTTTCTTGGTACTAGCTAATCAGATGGTCGTGTGGTTTCCCTTCTCCTTCGCGAGGTTGAGGTCCTTGGTTGTCAATTGATCATTTATGCCGATCTTGAAGTCCTAACTCCATATAGTCGGGTTCCCTACTTTGAGAGGTATCACAGCCTCGATCCCATGCGTTGGGACACATGGGGTTTCTCTTGTTGAGGATAGAGGAGTCTTCTAATAGGCCAATTAAGCAATTCCTTAGTCCATCTCCCCTTGGCTCTCTCTAGTCTCTTCTTGATTCTGATGAGGATGGTCTTGTTGGAGACCTCAACTTGCCTATTGCACTGTGGATATGTCAAGGTCAAATAGTAGTTTCTAATGTCAAACCCCTCACAAAACTGCTTGAAAGGGCCACTATTGAACTAGTTTCCATTGTCATATATGATAGCTCTAGAGATATCGAATCTAGTAATGATGTTCCTCTATACAAAATTTTTGTTGTCGACATTGCGTATATGGCTTAGGGGCTCGGCCTTCACCCACTTTGTGAAATAGTCGATGGTGACCAAGAAAAACCTCTTATTCGTTGGGGCTTTCAAAAAGGGCCCAACTATGTTCGTCCCCCATTGAGAAAAGGATCATGGACTTGTGAGGGGGTTGGGATCCCCCCTCTGTTGTCGAATAATGTGTGCAAATTCCTGGTTCTTGGCACATTTTCTACAATTACTTCTTAGCTTCACTCCGCATATACGACCACAAGTATCTTTGACATATGGCTCAGTGAGCCAAAGATCGACCACATTTATGGCTTTTGCATACCCCTTTGTACACTTCATAGAATTGTGGCTAAACCTAATCTTAGGGAATGCATAGAAGGTACAAACCCAAGAAGGACTTTCGATATAGCTTTTGATTCGGTGATACCCAAAACCTCGGGGCTTTGAGTCCTCTTTGCCTCCTTACGACATTCAAGAAGTTCTTGAGTGTCCAAATACCTCACTATGGGTTCTATCCAGCTCAGGAGCACTTTATTGGATCCGATTGAAAGGAATCAAACGATGTCGTGTCAGAGAGGCAAGATTTTTGCAAGTACCCCATGATTATTCTCCAAGTGATCTCTAAATTGAGAGTCGAGGACAAGTAGCCTAGGGCATCTGCATGAATGTTATGGTCTTGAAAGATTTGGGATACCTTCATTTCTTTGAACTCTCCCATGATTGCTTGCACCCTCTAATGACAAGCCTTTTGTCTGGGGGTACCAGGCTTCATATTTGGTTCGCCACCAATTGTGAATCACTGAATATAAGCGGTTGGTCGGCCCTAATAGCCTTGGCCATGCCAAGTTTTGAAATAAGGGCTTCGCACTTGGCTTCATTGTTTAAGGCTCCAAAGCTGAGTCGGATCGTATATTCTATAGCAGAGATGTCTGGGTTGGTGAAAACCATTCCTACCCCTATTCCCCAGGCGTTAGATGAACTGTCTACATATAATTTCCAAGTTTCATGGGGCATTATCGGGTCCTCAACTCAAGATCCCTCTTAGAAAGAAGGCTTCGATGATGAAGTTAGACAGGACTTGCCTTTTGATAGAGAGTCAGGGTTAATATTAGATGTCAAATTCTCTTAGCTCAATGGCTTATTTAGCCACCCTCCTGGACAGTTTTGCTTTTTGGATGATGACTTTCAACGATGATCAGTTAGGACCACAATAAGGTGTGCCTAGAATTAATGCCTTAATTTCCTAGTCATGGCCACCAGGGCTAAGGCCAGATTTTCCAAGGAAATGTATCTTGTCTCAACATCTAGAAAGGTTTTGTTGATTTAGTAGACCGACTTCTGTTCAGACTTATGCTCCTTGATTAGTGCCCCACTGACTATATATTCCAAGACAAAAAGGTATAAGTAGAGTAAATCCCTAGGCTCCAGCACCAAGAGTGTGGGAGAGGTCCTCAAGGACTCCTTGATCCATCACAATAATTATCTCATTTCTCCTTATGGACCTTCTTCAGGGCCTAGAATAAGGGTTTGTATTTATCTAAGGACTTGGAGATGAAACGATTAAGCATCGCGAGCATCTCGATAAGCTTTTAGATGTCTTTAATTGTTCAAGGACTCTGTACCTCCATGTGGGCTTGTATCTACTTAGGGTTTGCCTTAATCCCTCGGCGAGTCACCAAGTACCCAAGGAACTTGCCTAAGCTTATGCCCAAAGGAACACTTGGAGACATTAAGCTTCAACCCATGGTGTTAGAGTATCTAAAAGGTCTTGATCACATCTTTTAGGTGATCTCCTCAGTTCCTACTCTTCACGAGCAGGTCTTCAAATATAGACCTCCTTGATGATCCCAATTTACTAGTTAAACATTTTGTTCATCTATTTTTGATATGTGGCCTAGACATTTTTTAGCACGAATAGCATGACCTTGTAGTAGTAAACTCCCCTCAAGGGCACGTAGTAGACTCTGATGGTAGCCCACCTGAGCATCCATGAAGGTCATCCGCTAGTGCCCCGCAGTTGCATCAAATAACTAATCCACCTTGAGCAGGAGGTAATCATTTTTGGGGCAAGATTTATTAAGGTCAACAATGCCACACAAATATACCACTTCCCACTTTTATTTTCTGTGAAAACAGTTTTAGACAGGGTTGGATCTATATGTGACTAGTGGAAAATTACTCAAAGTTCTAATCCCCGCATCTTATTGGGAGTCTTAGCAAATACATCAGCATTGCCCTGAAGGAAACCCATCATTTCCTCCTACTCGGCCCTTGTCAGAGATGAGCTGACAAGAAAAAATATCTCTTTTTCATCAGGTTAGAGGTAAACTATAATAAGCTCCTCTTTTGACAGGTCGGGGGGCTCAACTCGGGGTTCATCAACTCTAAGCTGACCATTCCTTGATTACTATTTGGACAAGATTGCCTACGGTTCTTACTCCTTGGCCTTTGCATTCACCCTAGTCTTGATGGAGGCAAAGAGGCACCTCTTCAAGGTTGCCTAGTCCTCGCATATTTTCCTAATCCCCCAAGGGTGGAGAATTTGATTTATTGATGGTAGGATAAGTACACTGTCTTTAAGGCATGCAACCATGTATTTTCCATGATTACATTGTAGATAGTCAGAGTCGATCATAGTGAACTCCACGGGGAGTGTAATGACCCCAACTGTGACCAAGAGGGTTATCTTCGCTGGTGGTAATGCATATGAACTATAGAACCCGATCAGGGTGGTCTTCATGGGCATCAAGTCTTTTAGGTTGAACCCCATCTTTTAAAACAAGTTCTGATACATAAATTTCGATGAGCTGCATGAATCTACCATGATGCATCTCACATCGAACTTTCCTATCCTCGGGTTTAGAATGAGAGTATACTCGTGGAGCAAAACAACGTCGGATAGGTCGATACTGGTGAATGAGATGGATTCAAAACTAGTACAACCTCTCTTGGAAAGGGGAAACTCGGTCTTGCCTTCTTCGAACTCCATGGCCTAGGTGACCCTCTATAATTCGGACCTTAAATAATTACTAGTCGACAGGTACTATGCGCACGCATAAATCACCTCAATAATTGCAATTGCTTCCTTAGCGATAACGTCGGAATGCTTCTTGCCCTCTCGAGTTTTGCTGTCATCAACAATTCTCGGAGGTGCCCTTCTTGCACCAAATTTTTTAGGAATGCCTTGTACACCTGGCAATCCTTAGTGAGGTGTCCAATATCTCGATGGTAGGAGCACCGCCTATTGAACTATTAGTGAAAGGATCACCATGCATCTTTGGTGGCCACTTGAAGAAAGTCTCATTCTTTATCTTATGGAGCATTTTGTAAATTGGCTCCTTAAAGACCATGTGAATCCCCTTGATGAGGTTTGAGTAAGAGGTTGAGAGGATCCTCCTTTCTTACTTAGGGGATTCTTTTCCTTCCAGTTCACCACTGAAGCTTTGCCCTAGGTCCCAACCATTTTATACTCAACCTTGGGGTATTTGTTGATACGAGCCACAAGGTCTCCCATGTCGGTCGGAGTCCACTTGGTTAGGGACCAATACAAGTTTGTTTCTCAGAGAGCCCGAGTCTGAATAAGACAGCTGCCATTGTTTCCATGCATCCTTGCACCTTATTGAACACCTCCCCATTTGTGTTGCATATTTTCAGAGAATCTCTCCTTCTTTCTATCGCAATGTACAGACAGCGTCAACATCCTTTGTCATTTTGCTACTGGTGATGAATCGATCCAAGGATTGCTCGATCATTTGCTTCCAAGAGCTGATGCTTTTGGGGACCAAGCTATCATACCACTTCATTAGGAAAACTCAGCACAATAGCTTATGGGTTGTGATGTAGAGGGACATAAATTGCTTGTACTGCTAGATATGTCCCTTGGGATCAGTCCTCCCGTCGTAGATTTTGAACCGAGGCATGATGAACTTTCTTGGTATCTCAACCTCCTGGATACTTCGAATAGAGGGGGATTTCATTAGACTATCCTAGAGATCGTTATTCGAGAACTTGCCATGCCGAGGCCCTTGTCATAGGTGGGTAAGATGGGACCGCAAGTCCTCCCTTATGTTTGGAATCATCCTTGAGCTTTGGGACTTTATGGACTCCCGTGTACTTGACTGAGAGGTTTGATCCCTCATCAGACACCTCCATTCCATCCTTTCACGACACTCAATGGTAAAGGTCCTCACCAGCCAAGGGTCTCACCCTTTTCTCCATCCTAAAGAGATTGCCCCCTAGGGGGCACTCCCACTTGGAGGCGTGGGAATATGTCGCCTTTTATCCCAAGCACTAACAGGGATCGCTTTGGGGGCAGGTCTTGTGAATGCCCTTAGGAGAATATTCTATAAGTGCTATGGCTCGCCTTGCCCCTCGGGAGGCAACTTATGCCTTGTGAGGCCCTGACCAAGAGTTGAAATTTGTTGTGTGTTAATGAAACTGACATTGCCCTTCTCTATTTGCTTTAATTAGCCACCCAATCGTTCCTCTATTCAATTCCATCAAATCATGGACAAGGAATTTTGCCCCTTGCCCGCTTGAGTGTCGGTTCCGTGTTTTGAGGGTTTGGCTTGGAATTTTGGTGAATCCCATCTAAGTGGTCTAGGGATTTGGACACTCATGGCATACGAAGCTGGTTAGTGCTAGCATTCCTTGCACAAGTATTATCCTACGCATTGTCGTGATAATGTGTGTTTACCATGGTGCTAGCCACAGGAAAAACTTGATTCAATAGTTTCCTACATACGATGCCTGCATAGGTGGATTCCTGTGAAATAGTTTGAGATAGAGACAACTAGATAAATGAGGCTTGATTGATGCAAACAAGGAATAAGATTACAAGGGGGGCGGAGACATGTCTAGCTTATCCCCTCCAAAGCCTTAGTTAGTCGACGTTCGCAGAGAGGATAATGTGTGCGGTCCCAATTTGGTTGAGAGATGATGACATGGTGTTGTGTGAGTCACATCAAGCCAACCAGGAGTACACCCTCAGGGGTGAGCAATCAATGGCTACTACCTTCCTCGAGCCTTGCATTTACTAAGCCTAGGGGAGGTCAATAATCACTCAGGGTCATACCTCATGATTGCAATGGTCAGGGGACCAAGCATATCATGTATGCAACCCTGGCATTTAATGGCCTCTGTCAGGCATTAAATGCGTTGCGCCAAGCATTTATGGGACCTATGCTGAGCATTGAATACATTCTCCCTCGACTTGTCCTCGTCAACAATGGTCATACATTTAGCTGAAAATTCTAAAATACAATGTGTGACCCAATGTGATGTGTTAGCACAGTGGTTATTTCCTTCTATGTGTCACATCATAGGGTCTCACATGTCTGTTCAATATTTATTACTCAGGCTCGAGACCATTTACTCTAGGACTCTATAGACCCCAAAGGTATGCTTGTGTCCTTGATGTAGCCTTCTCGGTGTAGGATACTCCATGTCCACGCGTAGTGTGTTAATACGAGCATCACTTTATGTTCCATCAAAATTTATTATAATAATTTTAATAAAATACATTTTGACTCCACTGATCATCATAATTATTTTGTCTAAACCACCTTGGCAAAAATTCTAGTTAATAACACAACTATAGTAAATGTACATATCATTTCAGGTCGCATTTGATAACATTTTTTAGTATTTTTCTACTCTTTTGTCTTTTTAAGATTTAAGTAGAGTTCTTATTTTTTGTTTTTTTTTGCTGCCCTAGTTTACTTTCTTCCTCCAAAATTAATGGCATATATCACGTCGGCATCGACCTAGGTCGGCTAGGCTTTACCCAGCCAAGGCAGGAAGGATACAAGGCGCACATTAAAGCGTTTTGGACTGAGAGCCAGAGTGTTATTCAAGTTGTGTTATTCAACAATGGGGTTTTCGTGGTGGGGAGGGCTAAGAAGTGTGTGCACAGTGAGGAGGCAATGGGCGTGGAAGCTATAGCCTTGCAAAAATCTGTGAGGTTTGCTCGACTTCAAGGAATACAGTCTATTATTTTGGAAGGGGATTCTATTCAATTTTTGAAATCTATTCAGGCTATAGATATTGAGGAACATGCGGAATCCAGGGCCGTAGATCTGGATAGTGTGAGGCTTGGACTCAAAAGTTTGAATTATTACCAGATGACTATGGTCGGAGAAATGGTAAAAGAGTGGCGTTAAGCCTAGCTAAATATGCAAAGTTTCTTGAAGATTCAATTATATGGCGAGAGTGTGCTCCAGATTTTGTAATGTCTCTTCTTTTTTGACGTAGGTATCAAAAAAACATACCATTCCTATTCAAAAAAAAAAAAAGAGTAAATTTCACTGACATCCTCTGGATTTAAGTCATTTTCATTGACATCCCTCCAATTTTTAAAATATCACTATACACCCCCCGTAGTTTATATACACGTTTCACAAACTATCCCTTGTGTGATGTGATGGTTTATTCTCTTATGAATTGCCAAATTTACCCTTTGTCATATAAAATAAGTTTAAAGCAGTGATAACTATAATTTTAATATTAATTAAATTAAATTAAATACTAATTGGATTAAATAGAATGTTTCCTATAAAAAAATGTTAATTTGGTGTTAGTTTTAAAAAAATAATATTAATTTGATAAAATTAAAAATTAAATTCAAAAAATTGAATGTTAATTTTATAAAATTGAAAGTTAATTTATAAAATTGAATAACCATTTGGTATTGATTTGATGAAATTGAATGATAATTTGAAATTCAATCAAAAAAATGATGTTAGTTTGATAAATTAGATGTTAAATTGATGAAATTAAATGTTGTGTTAGTTCTATAAAATTTAATATTGATTTAATGAGATTGAATATTAGTTTGCTGAAATAAAATGATAATTTTATAAAATTTAATGTCAATTTCACATTAATTTAGTAAAATATTATATTAATTTGATGAAATTTAATGTTAATTTGATAAAATTGATAGTTCATTTGGTGTTAAATAGATCAAATTCAATATTAATTTGATGAAGTTTCATGTGATTTTGATAAAATTGAATTTTAATTTGGTGTTAATTTCATGCAATTGAATATTAATTTGGTATTAGTTTACTAAAATTCAATGTTAATTGAATGAATTGAATGCTAATATAATGAATGTGAATGTTAATTTGGCAAAATTTAATGTTAATTTGATAAAATTTAATGTAAATTTAGTAATAATTTGATGAAATTAAATTTTAATTGGTGTTAATTTGATAAAATTAAATATTAATTGGATAAAATTAAATTAATCAAACAAAATTAAAGGTCAATTTGAAGTTAATTTAATAAAATTATAAATTATTTTTTTATTAATTTGAATAAGGGTAGTTAACTAAAATGGGAGTTTTAGTAAGGGTAATTTAATAAAATTACATATTCTATTAGGCAACAAAAATTGACAAGAGTATGCAATGATATTTCAAAAAAATAGATGAGGTGTCAATAAAATATGACTCAAAACTAAGGAGTGTCAGTGAAATTTACCCCCAAAAAAAAAGTTGTATCACTTGCATCCTCTGTCATTTGGGCTAGAATTTAAATTGTGAACAAGAGACCATAGGACAATTATTTCTTCCTTTCTTAACAAAAACTCACTCTCTTAGACCTCCCATCAAATAAAAATATATTTTATTCAAATCTTAGAAAAAAGCAAGACAAAATCATGTAATTTTAGAATAATTTATATTATAATAAATCAAAATTAAAAAAATAAAAATTACACAATTTTCTGTACAATATCAATTAACCTCGTATTTAACAATAAACCCAATTTATTTATTGATCGTACTAAATGATTATGTCATTTTAAATTCATATTATATTTGTGTTATGCTCATATCAAAAGGGTCTCTCAAGACTAATAATATACACCTCTTGCAAAATACTTTATCTTCAAGCACGCCTCTGCATTACCTAAAATTTTATTAACACTCCCTATAAGTGTTTGTCGGCCAACAAAAGTAACAAAACTTGTTATTTTACCATATTAACCCTGATAATCTCACATATTATCCACTTAATATATAAGTACATAAAAATAATAAATATATAATATAGTATCATACACTTACCATATAATAAAATATAGCATATAATATATATATATATATATATATATATATATATATAAAACAAACAAATAGGTGAGAGAAAACTTGAGAAGTTTTTCCTCCACATTTTTTAATTTTCTAGAGTTTTCATTTTTTTAATTATCATACTAAGGATTTTTCCAATCATACTTTACCATATGTCTTTTGTCATCACCTTTTAACTCCTCACTAAATACCCACTATTTTTTAAAATTTATTTATATAAAATTATTTTTTATTAAAGAATTTAATATTATTTTTTATATATCTTCTTAAGAAAAATTAAAAAAATATATGTGCATCATAAGATGTTAGTACAAAATATATTCACGTATAATATATATACAATCCTATCATTTTGCATGGTTGATCATTCCTATAACTAAACTTAGCACAATCCTTTTACACAATCAATCTTCATTGCATAAGACCCAACCCATAACTATAACTTTAACAATCTCATAAATTTAAAAATATTTTAAATAAAAAATTAAAAATTCATTCAAAAAGTAAGTTGGAGGCCTTAGTTTTTTCAAACTTCTCTGCAACTGGTCACAATATTGTGACCGTTGCAGTAAGCCCATATATAGGCTTTTGCCGAATTCAAAAAAAAAAAAAAAAAATATATATATATATATATATATATATATATATATATATATATATATATATATATGAAAAGTATTAATTTCATTTGAATGTAAAGGATAGTTTTGACATTTTAAAAGAATATCAAGTCAAATCTTTCACTTTTTCTCTCGTCAAATATAGTTGGTAATGGAAGGCAATGTAAGTGATTTCATACTATAATCTAGAAAAGGTTGTAGTGAAATTTCAAAAGATACAGAGGGTGTCATTGAATTTATGCATAACGACATATTGTGTGGATAAAATTTATCCTTAAATTTTTTTTTCTCTAATATTACCACTAACAATTTAAATTGCACATTTATAAAAATGCACTAACGATTGAGATTAATGTAATTTTATGTAACAGTACCAAATTCATTCCCAAAAAAAAAAATGTATCCCAAAAAACCATCTTATTTACGCATCTCCCCATATAAGACAACTCAATTCACACTTACCTTTCTCTTCTCTCTGACTAGTAATAACTTCATGTCTACAGACATTTGACAAATATCAAAAGTTAAAGCTTTTGATATTGATTTAAGAGTAAAGACTGGAGAAACTTTTGTTTTCAATTTTTTTCTTAGAATTATGTATGTATTTATTTACAAAACAAAAGGTTACTAAAACACCGGAGACTGTCCAAGCTAATGATAGAGGCAAGATCACATTCCAACCAGACCTTACTATAACCAACCTCACAAATCCAATAAATCACTAAATCAAAAAGTTTGCATAGCTAGTTGATCAGTCAACTGAATGATCTGTTTCATAGGGAAGTTAATTATGCAGAAATTAACGCAATCCAACTACGTTTAAAGTAAGGAATTCAATCTCTATTCAAAAGGCTTGCACGCATACTCTTTTTCTGCAAGACTCCATAAAGATCTCCTCTGCCCTTCATTCTACCGAATAAGATGCGCCAATGTCTCGGGCTATAGAAGAACGAAGTGGAGGTAGTGCACGGGATGATTCCTGCAATCGTGTGAGGCGGCGATCTACCAACTGGCGAACTTAGAACAACAGGGTCAAAAAAAAGGGAGTCAGGCGTGTGCCCGGCTAATCCCCTCCGAAGCTTCAGTCAGTAAAAACTCGAAGGGTTTTGCTTAATGGACTTTTTCTGGCTTTAGTTTGCGTACCTTTGTCTATTTTCTGAGGAATATTTATACTTGAATTAACAATGATTGCCAAAGGTCTTCAGTCACATCTGGACATCTTCATATCTGACACACTATCTCTCGTGCAATGAGTGCTTCCTATTCACGTCTCCTCCTATTGAATGATAGGAAAATGGGGTAAAATCTCGGCCACCCGCCGAGCAATTATGCCCCTCCCCGAATGACCAAATCCATCAGGTCGGTATCTGACACCAATCAAGCATTGAATACTCGGCGGAACAGTTCCTCGGGAGATCTGATGCGTCGTCTCGGCGCATCAGCCATTAATGCTTAGCCATTATGACAGTAGGCTTAGACTCCCAGAGGGCAGTTGCTTGCAGGTGCGCATTTATTTGTCTTGTCACTATCACTCATTATGCCATAAATGTGAGGTCACATCGCATTAAATACGATGCCAGTTGTTGTACTCGGCCGCTCCGTGTCACCATTCCTCGGCATCCCTTGGTCATCCCAACGGCTTCATTGTTTCACATGTTAACCTGGAGGCTGAAGAGCCGCACTGAAGTCCCGCCAACTGACCCCCAGCCGCAATCCTTTTCGCAGCGCAAGACAAGTGGTGTAAAGGGACTGGGGCTCCATCATCACGCCTTATTAATGGCGACGGTTACTTGCACGTCTGGTGCCGCCCTTTTCAAATGTCCTAATGATGAGCCAACTTTTTGATTCCCGCTCCCTGCAAGGCAATATAAATAGGAGGTTTTCCTACCCTCTCAGAACTTTTGCATCCTCAATCTCTCCTCAGCAGTCAGACCCCGAGTGCTCTTCTGTCCTTCAAGTTTCATTCGTCCTCCGAGCCCTCTTTGAAGACCACCATTCTGTAAGTACTTCCACTCGAGCTTTTTCTCTCTTCATTTCCTCTGTATTTTGTCCTCTTAGTGCTCACCAAAGGCTAGAACTAGTAGAACCAGGGGGAAACGTCGATTAGGGCTAGTACTACCCACAAGATGAGGAGAACCCAAGTGATAGATGAGAATATCCAAGCCTTTAGGGTTAGGTACCACATCAGTGAGCCTGTCTTCACTTTTTCCTTCAACCCCACTCACTATAGGAGGGATATGGGAACTGCGGACATGATACCTTTCTGGACGAAGGCCATCATGGAAGGAGGGTTGACCTTCCCCCTCCATCCCATGTTGCTGGGAGTCTTGATGCAACTGAAGCTCTTTCCCCTCCAATGTGGGGTTAACTTCTTTAGAATTGTGATGGGCGTAGTCGTCTTAAACACTCGGTTGGGGACTAACTTAGGGGTAAAAGAAAATTTAT